AGATACAACTCTAAACATAAATATTATTTTGGACAGTTTTGACTGAACTTGATTTCCTCTACTAATATTTGCCTGTTCTTTCTGTTTGTTCAGATGTATAATACGACCATTTGGGATTTCCCTGAAGAATGTGCCTTTCACCTATTGTCGTCAGTCTATTTAAATGTGTTATGTATGTTCTGGGATGAAACTTTTACAACTCTTTCCTATGATGGGACCAAGGGATCAAAGGGAGAAGCTACAAGGTCAGTTCATGTGACCTTGGGGCTGACAGTAGCTGTTATCTGGAAGAGGACAGTAGAAGCCTGCAACAAAAGCAGGTAGAGAATGGACATCCCTGCACGGAATGAGAAAGAACGTTAAAAGACTTCTGAGTTTCTAAACTGGTCAGGTTCCCCCTCCTGTTGTGGAGGACCAAAAAAGGAAGAGTTATTGTCTATAATTGCAAAGTTAAACCTCAGATCTGCTGTGGACTATAATCACAAAAGGAAGAAACCTCTCATAAAATGAAGAAAAGCAAAAGGAGTTCCACTTCTTTCTAGTGGGTCTGAGGTCCCACGGAAGAACTGTTGAGGGAGGATGCACAGGATGGTGTGAACAGAAATGGACTGTTGTCTTTTACTTCAAGAGAATGAGTGTTTTCTGTGTGTTTGTTACAAACATCCCAAACTTGGACTTGTTTTTAAAATTATACCTTATAGCAGTTTCATGGCCGTAACAATCGGATATCAGTTGATGACAGCATGTCCATTGAAAAGCCACTTGCCTTATTTGGAGACGTGTTCTCCAAGCTGTTCTCAGGGTTAAAAAAACCTTTGTCATCAGTCTTTTGAAGCAGAACAGTAGGTACTAGAGCAATATTTATGCTCAGAGCATTTCAAATTAAGAAAAGCCTGTTAGAGGGGTGTAGCGGGCAGTTGTGACATTGCTTTTACTTAAATTGTTGGCACAATATGGACACACCTTGAATCGTTTCTCATCTCAGTGCAACTTTCACTTAATAATTATAAAAACTGAAGAACATACTGGATCGTTGGGGTGAAATTGCCTTAATTATGTAGAACTTCTTAAGTTTGTTCCAAACCAAAACAAATTTATAGTTGTTTCTTAGTCCTTCAGCACAGAGTGCATGACTAGTGCGTATGAGTATGCTCTGTATTCTAAACAAAGGAAAACAAATATACAAATATTACCTCATTGTTGTAAATTGAAACCAACTAAAATACAACTACATTTTAGCTGCAGAATATAAACCCGTTGGCTTCTTTTAAAAAAAAAAGTAGTTAGCAAGTGTAATACAATCATATATTTTTCAAAATGTATATAATACACGATATTTTTTGGAGCGTAAAATACCCCAACAGGGCATAAATGGATTTTTCTTTTTAAGTTATGTTGTGCTTAGTGAATGAATGATGCCTTTTTAAAGAATAACTTATTATTAAAGTTGTTTTTATCTATTTTAAAACGTAATTTCATGTGTGTAGATATATGCTATTTAAATAATTTATCAGGAAGTGTGACCTGACATTGAAAGTGTTTTTTGTCTGTATAAACTGTTTGCACACTGACTTGAGGATGTTTTTATTTGTTGTTTATTGTTTGTTGCTTGTTTTGTCCCCCCCCCCTTTTTTGTACAATTAGGGCTACCTTGTATTTTAATATTGCAAACTTTACCCACAGAAATGCTGTTTTTATTCATATCAGTTACTTTAAAAGAACAACAGAACAATAAACAGTTGAAAACATATCAGAATGTGTCTCTTTTGATCAAAGTATTACAGGGGAATTTCAGACATTTTTCAAACTTTTGAAAAGAAAAAACACTCAACACAGAATGATCTGATATGAAATGGAGCATTGGAGAGAAACATATTGACTCAAGTTTCTTTACAGTGGTGATGATGGAATGTCTACTCAATGTCTACGACACAGATTTTATTTACTACACAAAAAAACGTGTAATGTTGATGAAAAATAGTGGTAAAAAAAAGTTTACTTTGCCTTACAATGGCCAGCATGCACCTCTCCCCTGTGAATGGATCTGACCTACCATGTTTTAGAATATATATATTACTACTACTACTGCTAATAATAATAATAATAATAATAATAATAATAATTACAATAATAACAATAATAATAATAATAATAATAATAATAATAACAGTTAGTAAAGCACATTGAATTGCATTTGTGTATGAAATGTGCTATATACATAAACTTGCCTTGTCTTGCTTTACTACTGCTACTACTTCTACTACTACTACAACTTCTACTACTACTGCTACTACTACTACTACTACTAATAATAATAATAATAATAATTACATTATAATAATAAATAAAGCACATTAAATTGCCTTTGTGTATGAAATGTGCTATGTACATAAACTTGCCTGTCTTGCTTTACTACTGCTACTACTTCTACTACTACTACAACTTCTACTACTACTGCTACTACTACTTATACTATTACTACAACTGTCTACTACTACAACTACTTCTACTATTACTACTATTATTACAAGTACTACAACTACTTCTACTACTACTACTATACTACTACTCGACTACTACTATAGCTACTACTGCTACTATAGCTACTACTGCTATACTACTAATATAACTACTACTACTACTATAGCTACAACTACTACTACTATAGCTACTACTGCAACTACTCCTACTATTACTACTACTACTAAGCTACTACTTCTACTACTATAACTACTACTATTACAACTACAACTACTACTTCTATTAATAATAATAATAATTATTATTTACAGAGCACTTTTCAAAGTAGCAGCTCAAAGCGCTTTACAGACAGGTGATAGTTGAGTAATAGTAATAAAAGGCCCGTCAAAGATATTGTAAAACAATGTCTCAGGCATTTAATGCAACAGCTTTCTGTGACATAGCTTTAAGAGGCATTAAACTCTTGAGACGTCTGGTCCCTATCACCACCACTGTGAACAATTCAGACAGTTTTTTTTAGAATGGAGCATTTCACATCAAACCACTCTAAATGACTTTGCTTACATCTTAACCATTTAATTATGCAGAAAAAATAGTGGAATTCCTCTTCAAACCTTCCACAGAGGCAAACCAAAAGTAAATACATCCCAGATCTTAACTGAGTAGTCAAAACATTAGTAGGAAACTTATACTAAGCTCTGGATGGCGACTAAAGTGTTAGCATGGCAGTCGATGGTTTTACTGAAAAACACCCTTACTTTGCCTTTACAAACACTGAAAAAGGGAGAGAATATTTTGGAAGCTACTGTTACATTCCTCTAAGAGACAGCCTTTGCTCTTTGACTGTTCAATGTGTGCTCTTAAGACCACGATCTAAAAATAGAATCAGGTGCACGGATTTTGGGACTTTTCACATCCTGTTTGAACAGCTGAAGCACTGAAGCACTAAAGCTCCACTTTAACAAGCACTGCACAGCCATTTCTAAACAAATGTATTCCAGTACAGATGACTGATTACCTGTTACAAATGTAATCTGTAACCTAATCCAAAGAATTACTATAGAAAAATAATTTAATCAAATGACTTTCTGTCCTTTTGGATTATTTCTCTTTTTAAAGTCATATAATGACATGAAGACAAAGGCCAATTTCAACAAGGCGTCTTTAAACAAGGCGAACAGGAAAAGTGTACTGCTGTAAGACATAAAATGATAGATTATAGGTGATGTATAATTGTCTGCCAAAACTATGCACACTGGATGGGAAACAATATATGGTTGTATGCAAAAGTTTGAACACCCCTGGTCAAATTATATGCTTTGCTGATTTTCTAAGTGAAAATAACAAATTGGAAAAAAAATAAAACACACAATATAAATGCACCATTACTTTTGCACAGGTCACTTTCATGTTTTTTCCCCACAGTATGTTCAATTCAGCAAATAGTAATTGTGCATTAAAATGTGCAAAAGTGTGCTCTTTGTAGAGAATACAGTTGCATACAAAGTCTGAATGCACAATTACTGTTTATTTGCTGAATTAAACACACACACACACACACACACACACACACATATATATATATATATATATATATATACACACACACACACACACACACTTTCACTTATTCTATTTGTTTTGGTCAACATATTTTTGCACTATATTACGCTTTTATCTTAATTGTTCAGAAGATGTGAGATGCTTTGGTTTTCTTTCTCTCTGTTTTTAGAGTGTCACAAAGAAATCACAATCACAAGCACAGAACACATCGCTGGGCACATTCATAGCTTTTTGACAGCAGTTACTGCATTATAGTTTGATTTCTGCTGCATTTTGTAGCTACTACAAGCCAATTTGATGTTTGAAACAGTACAATTGTGGTATACTTAAGATGCTAATTATGTACGTAAGAAGAGTTATCAGTATGTTATTTAGTCCATTAGATTTTTAGTCAATAATTAACTGGTCTGTGACAGTCAAGTTCAGCGTAGCTTAGTTAAATGAAATTAAGGTTAGATTTGGGCTAACCTTAACATCTTAACATACTGAATGTGCAAGACTCTACATAGACTTTGTCTGAACTGGGAAATGGACCAAATGACACTAAGTCAGCTGGGATAATGTGCTGAAGTTGATAAAAGCAGTCTTTATGATAACTGTCGCTATTGGAAATAAGCTTTTATAAATGTTAATGTAGGTTTATGTCAGTTGTCATGAAGGGCTTTTGTAACTGTCAAGCAGCCTTATGAACTTGACCTAAAGTGTTACCCTGGTTTCAAAGTATGGCTCGCACGTGTAACTAAATGGTAATGTAAAGCAACCAGAAAGCATAATTTTTCATGTTACAGATTTAAATAATGGAGTGAGAAGTGAAATCTTAGTAACTTTAATTTAGGTCAGTGCACACAGCAAAGACAAACTACTACACCCTGAACAGAAACTCACCTTGTGGATAAAACTGGCTTTGGCTGCAGTATATAGAGGAAAAAACCTCTAGCTAGAGTAGACGAAGAGAATTCAGCACTTTGGGGCAAATATGCTTGGAATGTTCTCTCCATAAATCAAGCTGTAATAAATTTTTTTTTATTTCAGTCAAACTTTCAACAGCTTTAATTATACTTCAACAAGAATACAATATGGTAATGATTTTTTCCAATATTTCAACACAAATAACAAAACTGGTATTTAAGCATTCTCACCATGTCAAACATCTAATATGCCCATGCATTTCCTCTGACTCCATTAAGACTACAACTTAACCTTGCAGGATTCAGTCCAGGGTGGCTTCTTCACTCTCATGGGGGGTGCTGGGAGTTCCACAAGCTTCCTGCAGTAACTCCGAGATAGCAGAACTGGACAGGCGGGGCGTGCTGGCCAGCAGAGACATAGCGTGGCTTTCTAAAGCACAATAGGGTCTTGGGGAGGAGTCTTCTGTACCTGAGCCAGAACATCTGCTCAGGGCCATCTCACACTCCACCAACAGGCTCCTTAGTTGGTCCTCAGGTAAACTCTGCAGGTGAAAACATGAGAATCAGAGAAACTGAAGTAAGTTGCTCGGTGAACAGTACAGCACACCAACCTGCCTACACTCAGGAAAATGAATCAAGGGGGTTTGACTTACAAGCTGAAAATATATCAACATTATTTACAGATGCATTTTGTGGAGGGAACAAGGTTCCTATGTGCTAACTGTAGTCTATTTGATTGAATGGATTTGTGTGGCAAAAGAAACTTAAAGGTCCCAATTAATGGAAAACCACATTTTGTTCACTAAATTTTCAAAACCTATCTCTCTGTCCATACAGTCCATACATGGAAACTAAACTGCACATTGTTGTTTTTGTGGCGTCACATTGACCTACACATTCACATATATTCGCCTTATCAGCTGACAGCAGTTTAGCCCTGCCCATTCACACCAAAGTTATAAGGAGTGTTTCAGCCTGGACAGCTTTTAGAACAGGGCACAATACTCAGCCAATCAGAACAGAGACAATTATTTACAAATTATCTTTTTTTTAAACAGAATTTGGAAGTACCAGCTGTCCATTACAGTGCGATAGAATGAAATGAATGGCGCAGTAATTAAAAATTACTTAGAAAAAATCTTCTTACATTCATAAGTTAAGAAAGTTTTGTTCCCCTCCTGTAAAGTTACCATTTTGGAAAAACAAGGTTTTGCCTTATAGGTATAGTAACAAAAGCAGCCTATTGAAGTCTAGGGGACAAAGAGAGGTCGGAAAATGCTCATATAAAAATAGATTATGACTGTTTTTGGTATATATATATATATAAAGGAAAAAAGGAAAAAGTAAATGAAAAAAAACAAGAATAGTATAAACCATGGGCCTTTTGAGTTCTTACTAGGAATGCACTGATATTGGAATTCTGGGCCGATGCCGATATCGGATATTTTTAGTTTGCATATCTGCAGATGCCAACATTTATAAAATGTAGAAATTGGGACTACATCTACCTGGTTTAGAATTACAGACAAATGTAATATTGATTTGTAGAGGGTTACAAATGCAGTAAAATGAATAAAACAAAGACATTTTAGTGCAGTCCCCCAGCATCACCTAAATGTTCTGCTCTTCTGGAGTACAATAACTATGTCAACAAATATCGGGTTGAAATATCAGTCAAATGTTTTTAGGTTGATACCTACAAGATCCGGTATCATCAGTGCATTCCTAGTTCATACAGCTATTCATTTTATTGACTGTAGAAGACAACAAAAGGAATCAAATGAAATAAAAAAAACTCCAGTTACATCCTCTGAGAACATTGCTGTGACAAGTACAAGACATTATAATACACCTATATCCTTGATGACGTGTAAAAATACATGCATCCTCTTATTGTACCCTTCAATACTACAAGATCAACACCTCAGAGAAGTCATGTGTTGTATGGTAATTGGTGCAAATGTTTTATCACTACATGGCCTGTTTACCCACTGACTATATCACCAGATTTTGCTCTGGTATTTCCTAATGATGAATCAAACTGTCATCAAAGTCCCCCGAGCTACTTGCACTGCACTCGTCCCAGAGAAGGTCTAGTTTTGGCCTAAATAAACACAGCCAACAGCGTAGGACAGTTCCAGTTGGAGAGCAGATTGTTTTTCTATCTGGGAATGAGAGGAATCACTGCTTGTTTTTCTAACTGGAGCTGTGATGAGTCTCCGCCTAACACTCAGGGACTGTGGGAGTGCAGAGCTAGTTCATCAAACGATGCCGGTAAGACTATCCTGAGAACCACCGGCCTAAAAACTACTGTACGGCCACGTTTCCACTGCTGGAACTGAACAATGCATGACACATTTTTTCCTCCTGATAAACCCACTCATTCTGGCCACGTTCAACACAGCACGTTTTTGGCTTGACAGTAATGACGGGCTTTATCTTTCACACTCCACATCTTCATCAATTCCACTCTATATCAAACCATCGAAACAGTCCAGCCAAGCAGACAACAGCCCAGCCAAGCAGACTTACTCCTCTCCTGGTAGGTGTAATCTTAAATGTTCCACCACATCATATGACCCCCTGACACAAATCCATCGCAGACCGTCTTGTGTCTCTGTTCTATTAACGGAACCCGTGTTTTACTGCTGAAGAGTGCAGAAAGGAGCAGCATTGTTCATCAGTCTTCTCTTACTGCTGCAAAGATGGAAGGTCACCACCATTCCTTGGTCTCCTATGACCCCCCTCAGGCTGTACTCAACGCCCCCAGTGAACCTCCAGCATCTCCATCCATGACAATGCCTCTGACCTACGGCAGGTTTTCCACAGACCTTTGCTGTGCTGTATCATTTGCTGTCTCTTGCACAGTTTGTCAGGGTTAATGATCTGCCTCAGGCCACAATGAGGAGGGTGGTGCTCCTCAATTTACCTCTCTTGTAATCATCAGAATTGCCTCGGTTCCTTTTCTGATCTAATGTTAATGCAAAGGGCTATTCTTTCGCAGACACATTCCAGCTCCTCACCTTTCACTTAAGCTCCTCGGCACTCCTCAAACTGTCAAGACAGGCTCCATAGACTTGACTTATATCCACAGACCTGACCTTCAACCTCTACACTTGAATAACAGAATCCTCAGTCTAAGACGACTAGTTTAAGGGAAATTGTGCTGATTTTTCAAATTGTCTGCATTATTCAATCTTTAAGACATAAGTAAAGTCATTCAGAGAGATATGAAATGCTCTGTTCTAGAGAAACTTACAGAGTCAGAACTGTTCACTGTATCACTGTGGTGGTGATAGGAACCAGATTATTTGAAGAGTTGAATGCCTCAAAAAATCTCCCTCACATAAAGCTACTACATCAAATTCTTATGAATATGCAGTCTCATGCCTGAGACATCGTATTCTGATAATTTATAACTTATTTTAAATTCCACTTATGGAGGGAGATACATGCAGGGTGTTACAAGGCAAAATAATCCCCAAAGAAAATGCATTCTTTTCAAATTTACCACTATTTTACCATCATAAACATTACACATAAAAACATCAGATGACACATGCAGGCTCAATGATATTTTGCTAAATATAATGGAAATAAAATGGCTATATTTGTGTTGTAGACAGCAAGACCTCTGGTTCCTCTTATCACCTCTGTAATATGAAATATTCCGTAAGACATTTCACATCAAACCACTCTGGGCTCATTTTCTGAAAACATCTTAGTGTTAAGATCATCTTGGCTGGTAGAGAGAGTGTTTAGGGTGATGCTCACTCTTATCAATGTGGTTTAGGGCACATATGACTTACTGAGAGCTGGGAACATGAATAAAACTTCACTGTGTAGCTGAATGCAGCAGGGAGGTACTTTAAACTAAAGATGTACTTCACGAAAGCATATGGACACCACAAATGACATGTTTCTTTTTGTAATAACTTAACACTGAATTTTGTCAAACTGATGATTTATGGTTATAAACAAAAACAAGAGAAGGTAATCTGTAAAATTTGGTTCATTTTTATAGTTCACAGTAAGTCATACTGTGTCCTAAACCACATCAACAGGTCTGTGTGCCCTGAATGTGGTTTAAGAGTAGTTTTGGGAATGTATTTATGGAAAACATTTTGGTGACTATTGACTTCCAGTGTTTGTTAGCAACGTTGGTCTTGCAGCTCTAGCTCAAACATTAAGAAGCAACATTTGGACATCAAACATGTTTCAGCTGATTGATCACATCTGGGGAAAGTGGAAAATTGTTTAAATTAGATATTTGGTGAACCACTTCTTTAATTTGTGGTCTACACCGTTAACATCAGACTACATCTTGTTTGGCCTTTTAGCTGCAATACTACTAGTCATACAGTGCTGCGCCAAAGCTTTAGGCAGGCAAAAAATTGTTTAAAACTATTTATCTTGGCAGTAAGTGTGTTTTTGCCAGTAAAAACACTACGTTATTAATATGTTGGCGAGAAGAACACAGGTTTGGTTCCTCACTTCTCACTGCGCTGCAGCCATTGCATGGATTTATTAGATTCCATCAGCAGCAGCTGATTTAATGAAGGACTGATTAGCTTAAGCAGGTAACTGTAAATACTGGATACTTTCTCAAAGATAGCTTTAGAAATGTTTAGGTACTCATGCACATAAAGTCACAGTGTAGTGTTTATTTGTATTTGTTCTAATGTCTTTTTTAACCTTACATATCATTTTCTCAGCTTGCCTAAGAATTTTTCACAGCACTGTACTTTCTAAAGAGTAAGGCCATGTTTCTTAAACGATACCAGACCAGTTACATGAGAGTAAACAAAGTCTCTCTTTGTTTATTATACACCTTTCATTCTGTTAACCTTTGTGCCGAGTCCATCTGAAATGACTACTGTGCCGCTTCTCTCTCACCACACTAAAATAAATAAGTGGCCACTGCAGGGCGAAGTGCAGTACAGCAGGAGATCCTGGAGAAAATTCTGTGTTGACATTAAAACAAACTGCATCCGGTATGAACTGAGAATACTTGACCTCTAAATTACAGCATGTAACACGCTATGCTCTTACATATTAACACAGGTGGGCATTAAATCAATCCCAACCCTCTGAAGACACAAAGTAGGTCAGTGGTTAGGATCGGACGCTGGCGTTTTCGTGCTGGAGCCTGGCCTGAGGAAAACATGCCTTTGGATTGGAGAGTTATGTGTTTGAACACGCTGGAACTTAGACAGCTGAGGAGACTCTTGCAGTTTTCTCTGTGAGCAGGACAAGAATCACAGAGACATGTTAAATACTAGTGAATGGTGTGAAGTCTACAGATCACGCCTTAAAAAATATTAGGTGAAAAGTCCACTGGTACAATTAACGTTACTTCTGTTGGCACCTCCTGCTCCACACATACTGTGCTGTTTCATACTAAAACACAACAAATAACGAAAGGAAACTATGGAGACTGAATGCTGGAAGTAGCCAGTTTGACTTCAGATTGCATATCATCTCTTTTCTTACATCATTTGAAAACACCAGCTGCCCATTACAACTTATGATGAATGGACAA